TGTGTATGCCTGTATGGCACCTCCCAAAAACTTGATATCTGAAATGCGGCCGTGAAATACCAGTAGAATAAAAAACCTGTATGAACCATTGGAAAGTTATAGTCACATTATATATATATATATATATATATATATATATATATATATATATATATATATATATATATATATATATAAATAAAGGTATATATATATATACCTTTTTGCTCTTACGTGTTATCCAAACACAGAAGCAAAGTGCAGTTTGCTGTCGATTTAATTATAATATTTTATCAAAACATGCTACTGGAATTTACATATGGTATAATATGTGATTGGTCGTGGGGGGGGGGGGTGATGGGTGGTTGGTGAGGGAGGGGGGGGAGGTGACGCAACAAAGGGTGGTATGGTGGTGGAGGGAGGGGGGGGGGGAAGGAAGGTGGTGGTAGAAGGGTGGCGATGGGTGGTGAACAGTGATAAGAGGCTGGGGGGAAGATGAGGGATAGTGAGGAGTGTTGAGGGGTAGTGAGGTTAGTGAAGAGTAGTGAGGGATGATCACTATATTTTTTCCAGTATATTACCTACCACAGACGTGGTCACACATTCACAATGGCAGCCAGCATACACACACATTGTCGTCTGTCTCACACAGACGGGGCTGGAGATCTGTTCTGCATACTGTGCAATGGTGGGTTATCAAGCGCTCAACCCTAGAAGCTCATTGAAGTTTGGTTTTCTACCACAGACGTGGCCACACACATTTACAATGCTAACCAGCATATATACATTTTCTTCTATCTTCCATGACAGAGTTACAGATCTGTTTAACATATAATTAAGTGAGTTATTGAAATGCTGGTACAATGAAAACTAGCATTCACACTCGACTGTGCAACATGGGGTTAGAGACCTGCTACAGTACATAGTGGTGAGAGGTAGTGAGAGGTAGTGAGAGGTGAGGGGTGGTGAGGGAAGGTGAGAGGTAATGAGGGGTAGTGACGGGGAATGAGGGGGGTAGCCATCCTTGGTGATCAAATGTAAATGGTTCAGCTTCATATCCTGTCAGCAGTGGAAAGACAATGTGGAAATAATTACCGCAATTTTGTATCTAGGAGAAGAAGCTAGAGACAAAAGGCTCGACATAACCCTAAACTGGATCCCATTCCATGTTGGAATCCCATTAAATGAGAAAGCTGAAGAAACTGCTGAATTGGCAACTCGTCATTCAGTGATCCACAAAAGAATCCAACCCAGCCTAGAGTACATACAAAACCCAAAGCCCACCTATAACAGTGAGTAGCAGAAGATTCACCCTCTGCAATATGGTATATTCAGGCCACCAAGTTAGAGATTAAATATCCCAAAACGAATCCACGGGAAAATAGCAGTTCGGTTAAATAGACTACATCTATGTTACAAATGGAACTGGGATATTAGTGAACCAAGAGAGTGAGAATGCATCTTCTGCCAATCACAGCCACTACTTCACTATCTCCTGGAATGTAACCAACGACCTTAGAAGAGCTTTAAGACTCCCTGAACCTTGCAGTAACCACCCTGAAGCCATCAACACTGCCACTCTTCTGGTCCATAAAAGGAGTCCAGCAGCTGGACACCCTCATAAATACTGTCAAGCAGTATCCTCCCACGCGATAGTAGCCACATAGTGAGGACAGATGGTCAAATGCACGCTCAGCATACAGTATATCCCTTCACGACCAAAGATCACAGTCACTCCACAAAATCTACCACTTACGGGCTATTCAAGCCCGTGCCACCTCTTGGGTGGCTTAAACTTTAAAAGTCAATCAAATCAATTATATCCTATTTTTTTTAGGAATGTGGCTAGGAAAGATGAGAGAGAGAGAGAGAGAGAGAGAGAGAGAGAGAGAGAGAGAGAGAGAGAGAGAGAGAGAGAGAGAGAGAGAGAGAGAGAGAGAGAGAGAGAGAGAGAGAGAGCAAGCGAGCCAGAGAGAGAGAGAGAGCCAGAGAGAGAGCCAGAGAGAGAGAGAGAGAGAGAGAGAGACAGACAGAGAGAAAAAGAAATGGATGGTAGGGGGGAAGGCACAGCTGTAATGAGGACAAGAGCAGAGCTCCACTGTATCTTATTTCCACTGTTGTTGACTGGATAGATTAAGGTAACAAGTGTGTCAATAGGCATTTGCTTTCTTGCTCAAATCTTCACTCCCAACTTACCCCATTCTTTTTCCACCCCCTCACTCCAACTGTCCCTAGAGAGCCTTTCAGGCATTTCTCTTCTCACCTTAATGAACAAATATATTAATGAGCTTTACAGGGCATAACACCACAGGTCATATCTTTGAAGAACCTTCCTCATGCACCAGATTCATGAAGAAAATGACCTAGGAGTTATGATCAACCAGTTATTGAACATTGCTTCACTAGTAGGCACGCTACACTAAAAAAAAAAAAAAAAAAAGTAACCAAACCTTGGGAATAATTAAAAGACTTTTGATTTCATGTTAAAGAAAGTAGTTATTCAGTTATACATCTCTGGTGCACCAAGTACAGTGACTGCTCCTTCAAAAAGACATATCTGCTTCGGAGAAATTTCAACAGTGACAAAAATTACTCGAGAACAAAGTCAACTCTCATAGCAGGAACGGTTGAAGGCCTCAGGGCAATAAGCACTACAAACCAACTATGACGGGTCTGATTTCATTGAGAGACCTTTAAAATAATGTACTAACAAATTAGAACTGAATTAATCTGAAGTTGTCTGAATTAATCCAGACAACTTCTTTAAAGGGCTATTGTAATGCACACAAGAGGCAATAATTTCAAGCTCAATAAGCCACAACGTAGGGAGGCACTTTCCCGTCCCGGGAAAGGGAAAGGGAGGATAGGGAGCCGGTCGGCCGAGCGGACAGCACGCTGGACTTGTGATCCTGTGGTCCTGGGTTCGATCCCAGGCGCCGGCGAGAAACAATGGGCAGAGTTTCTTTCACCCTATGCCCCTGTTACCAAGCAGTAAAATAGGTACCTGGGTGTTAGTCAGCTGTCACGGGCTGCTTCCTGGGGGTGGAGGCCTGGTCGAGGACCGGGCCGCGGGGACACTAAAGCCCAGAAATCATCTCAAGATAACCTCAAGATAACCTCCCCATCGAGGCTACAAAAAATGGTGGCATTTAGGTAAATTCAGGTAAATGTAGCCTTCTGGACATATACTTTCTTTGGATAATTATTTAATCATGGTCTAAGAGACCTATGAAGGAGGGGATCCACAGCAATTTGAAACTAATTGCTTTATTAAATATGCATATGTAACTATGTCTGGCTTAAGACACAAGCATGTTATGAGTTTAATTATAAGATATTAAGACCTGATAATGAGGATAACAAGTAATCATAATTGCTTACGGTATCTATAAGTAAGGTTTTCAATAATCTTGACCACAACAAGAATAGCAAAAAATTTAAACTTGAGACAGAATGTCCAATTACTGATACAAGCCTCACAATAGTATTGCCATTAAACTGGCATACAGTGCCAGTAATTCCTGCCCTCCCTCCCTGAAGCTTAATTAAGAGATCATCAGTGTATATGGTCTGTGATGATGATGTATGCAGGGACTGTGATGATAATGTATGCAGTTGGAAGAGTGTGTGTGTGTGTTCAAGAGCATTTAATTTAGCATCAAGCTAAGTATGAGGATTGTGAGTAGTTTCTTTGTGAGGTATGTAGGTACAATCTTGTCAAAAGGCATCTGCCAAGGCGACAGAAAGTGCTGCATTTTTTGTTGTCTTGACAACCTGTGTACTCTAAACATTTTAATATAAATGGCTGTTCTTTGAATAAAACCCGAATCACTATTTCATTGTGTATGTTCTACTTAGTAAAGTATATTGATACTGTCCAATGCTATTTACATTATCATACACAAGTTTTGTCTAGATTTGTTATTAAATTGATTTCAAATGTTGAAAGCTTTGGTAGTTCACACACATTATAGGGTAATTATTAAATAGGGTAGTTATAAAAAACAAAATAAAAGCTTCAATTTGCAATTTTTTGCCTATTAATTCCTTTTCTATATTATAGAACTAACAATTGAGCATGACAGTCAATCAGAGATCTCATACAAGTCAAATACCAGTACAGTACTTCCAGAAAATAGTAAAAATATTAGTTCTAGTTGAATCATTATATTTTGAAAATTACACCTTTACATTAAAAACCAATAGCCCCATGGTTTGATTTTGTAAAAACCAAAATCCCAAAAATCCCAGGTACGCGGTCCCCATAACAAAGTGGTAGCACACTCTCCTGGCGTTTCGCGAGCGCTTTGCCCTGGGTTGGTATCTTGGCCGGGGAAGATTTACTGGGCACCAATCCTTAACTGTAGCATCTGTTCACCCAGCAGTGAATGGGTACCTGGTTGTTAAACGATTTGGTGGGTATGATGTTAAAGTACAAGGCAGTATAGTGTGTGTGTATGTGTAATATATTTTGGTGGTGGTTTCAATTTGCTTAGAGAGTTAGCTTATGCTTCAACAATCCTCCCCTCCTCACCCAACTTATGCTTGAAAATCGACATTGGCCTTCCATGTTTATTGCCAATTTTTATGTACAGTGTGTCAGTATATTTAAATACTGAAGACTTAATTTTTGGAGACTTAATTTTTGGAGATTTTTGGAGACTTAAGAATCAACACTTTATCTCTCGTTGTTCTTGTTCTCTCAGCAGTATCTAAACCATTCCAGTATAAAACCTGCCATGTCAGGTTGCAATTTTTGCCTGTATTCATCCTCATTTCTCCACAATATGTAATTTTTTTGCAATAAATGGAATTTCTACATTTTGCATGCATATTGGTTACAAGTGCTTTTCCTACAGTAACAAAAGGTGCAAAGTTACAGAATAATACTTGTACAGTAACTCGGAAAGATGTTAAAAAATGATATAGTTCACCATTACAAAAATGGTTCAGTATTACTCAAATAAGTTTACTATGTAGAGTAGTCTATTTATATTCTTACAAAGGAGACAAAAAATAGGTTACAAAATAAAAATTTACTATTTATATAATACAAGCTTAACTACAACTTCAAAAGTATGTTCATACTATACAGAATTATGACTTAGCTAAGCGAATTGATTTCTCCAGCTCTTCTAGTTGTTTCCTGCCTTGCATAATCAGCCGCTTGATTACTTCCTGCAAAATGAGTTACAGTCCTTGAAAGTAGGTCATACATTAAATATATAAAGAGTAGGGAAGTCTAAAACTACTGTACTCTATTATGGAAAAGCTTTTTCTCTGTGCAATTTAATATTACTGTATATAACAAAATTTTACATAACAAGCAGCTGTAATTCCAGAATGCTTGCTTTACATGTCACAGTACTGTATAACTCAAGGCAGTACAGTATAACAGAAATCTCAGAATCCCAGACAAATATTTGCAACAAAGAAACTGTGAAATTCAGAAATATTCCAGATTTCATGTACTGTAGTATCAATAGGTGTATAGAAAATTGAGCACAACTCTGCATCATTAATGCTTATCAATTATGTGACTTCAATGTTTCTAATATTCTTTTATCTATTGTTGTAAATATTACTCAAAAAATACAATTAGGATTTTATAAATTATTTACTGTACTAGAACTACAGAATATTAAAAATAATCATTGCAATTAGCAGAATGTGATTTTTTATGCCTTTGGTTCAGTCCTACAACACTATATGGATCTTGTTACTTGAGGGATTTATTTGTCTTCTTTGGTTACTGTATCATTTGTGAGAAAAATTGGAATCTGGCCGGAACAGAGTGAATGAAGACGAGGACTACGGTATAAACACGACCAAGAGGCTAAACTCATGTATAAACGTGCACAAGGCTGGAGGTGAGGACAACATTCTGTGAACTACAACATCAGATATATAATAACGTGTTAAGAAGCAGCCACAGATGTGACATCTGGTGTCGTGTGACAGTACCCAAATTGGAACCAAGACGACTTGCACAAACACGCTAAAGAGTTTTGTGAAAAGAACAGTATTGACATGTATAAGAATCTAGTGGATGAATTAGAACACTATGATGATTCGTAAAACTAATCTAAAATAAACACATCCATTGCCACTTCAACTGTAGAACAATCTCCACAAGTTGAATGTGACACTTTATTCATGGACATCTCCATGGGAAATAGTCACAAATATATGGCACCCTAACATTAATTATTGGTAGTCAAAACCACTTTAAAATATAAATAATTATTTAGCAGAAACACCAATGACATGTATGCAAAGATGTTTATCTATAAAATGACATTACATAATTTTTTAGGTGCCTCAGTTATTTTAATATTTAAGTGGCTGGATATATAAGGTGCACACCAGGTGTTTGAACCCCAGGTATCAGTATCTGGCCAGCTTGTAAATAAGCCAATATTATAAGGCAATTCAATAATATAAGGCAACATTTCTTACAGTACATGGAACCATCATGTCTGACCACCACTTGCCCTAGTACTAGAGCAACCACAATGAGCTTTGGCTCGTTCCTTGGGAACCACTGACCGTTAAGATATGATATTAATATGCATGGCAGCACAATCAGTCAGCATGTGTTAGTGGCCTTTCTACTGATGTAAAGATACTGTAATTGGTTTTGGAGGTGGAATACCATAACCATGGACTTTGTGGTGTAGATATGCATTAACATCATATATTACTCATTTTACAATTACCATATAGTACCCTATATGGGTACTGTTCTGTGAATTAAAACACAGTAAGTGCTGTGATTTTCCTTTGTTTATAACCTCATTGCTTTTAATTTAATATCTGCTATAATACATATGGTGCATTGATACACAGTAAATAAAAGCTAATATTAATTTTGCTTTTAAATGCATTATTATATATTACAAGGGCATGAATTCAAAACATTCATATTTCTTACTAATACATAGAGATAAATTTTTCTTATAAGCAATTTGTAGGATTGAAAAAACATTAACAAAAAACTGAGAATACCTCATCTTCGTGATGTCGGTGAGTTTCAAAATCAGCCCGAGTCCAGTCTCTTATTTCTTTACGTTGAGACTTGTCTGGTAAGTGCTGCAATTGACGAAGTATATTTCTGTATAATCTGATAGCTTCTGTTCTCAACATAAACTGAAATACAGTATAAAGTTTAATGAAAAAATGTATACTAGCAAATTTTTTTTTTTTTACCTAATCCATCTCAATTTCCTAACCTAACAAGAACTTTTAAATATTAAAATCTGAAATTTAAAAAATTTGTAACATATATTGATTATTATTTACTGGTTTCAGCAAGAAATAGTGTACGATAGGGGGTCATATCTGAGGAAACTTGCAATTTATTAGAGCAAGTTGCTCCTTTTACAACTCATATCATTTTTGGAGAATATACAGCTACCATGGTAAACAATCATTTAATTGGTTTACCACATTATATACCAAACAAATGTCATTCACATAACAGCATTAGCTTGTCAGGTTAGGATAAGTTTAGGGTTAAGTTAGAGTAGGTGTGGTTAGCTGTAGAAGAGCATGAGCAGCCGAGTTACATAGTTACATTCTTGTACAGCCATTAGTATGCGTAGCGTTTCGGGCAGGTCCCCGGAATATGACCCCCACGAAGAATCGTTGTTACAACCAAGTACCCATTTTACTGTTGAGTTAAACAGAGGCTACAGTTAAGGATTTGCGCCCAGTAAATCCTCCCCAGCCAGGATACGATATGAGTCACCACTGCCTTTATTTCTCCCACGCAACACATACAAGTAGTCTCTTATGTATCTAAGATGGTTCACCAATCCAAGCCAAACTCATCCTGACCCAATCAAACCAAACCATTTCTAAATTAAAAATCTGAAAATGAGTTTGTTGAAATGCCTGTAGTATATGATTTGACTGTACCTCTTCACAACAGAAGAGAAGATTTCTCTCTTCTTAAATAACACCACAGTATACAAAATAGTTCCCAGGATTAAACCGATGACATCACACACAATACATATAAACTATTTGTATTTTATTTTTGTTAGGCTAGGTGAGGTAAGATTAGAGAAACAGAGTAGGTTTGTCTAACAATTAACAGTGACATATAAATGTCCACGAGTTGTCTGCATAACCTTTGGCCTTTTTGAACTTTGTTAACTTTAGGCCAAGTGCTTCATAACACAGCTGGAATGAAGCACCTGGCCTAGAATTAACGTCTGGTAGGTCATAAAGTTACCCCCACCGATGAGCCATGTTTCCTAGACTTAATGGATGTGATTTGCCCATCGTACTTTAGATCAATCTTTAGCCATTGTGGTTATTTTTGGTATGAAGCGCGCTGGAAAAGAAACAACTTAAAGCAACAGGTTAAATTGATGATACCCGACGAGCAAGCTGAAATATGCTAAACCGAAGTGGGAAATCTAATTAAACCTTTTAGTGTTATGCTCTAGTCTTTCTCAACACTCAAGCGTAAACTATACATTACCCGTTTCAAGCTCATTGTACCCTGAGGTAACTTCCCACAGAGAATCCCACTTAAATACATAGTGAACGACGGGTTTTCTTGATGGTACGTGCAGTTTGCATGATGTGAACGATGGCAGTGTTGTTGTTTCAGGGCCGACACGTTCTTATCCAGCAAGTCACGTCGTTATAATCGCCCTCGTTCCCTATTACATTTTATGAATATGCACAGATCATATAATATGATATGAGCATATAAGAGCAGATCATATAATCTGAGCAGATCTGAGCAGATCATATAATATGTATGCATCAAAATATACTAAGGAATAAGAAATAAATTGTGGATTGCTGTGGAAGAGGAAGGTGAGAAATATGAGACTACTTTAGTCGATGTAAACGAATAAATTGTTTTAGGGGATAAAATTATATATTGAATAAATAAATACTGCTGCTTTTTTTCTAGAAAATAAACATTATTGTGATCTAGTTTCTGAGCCCATGTGTGCCTCCGTAGCATATGTAACCTGCTGCAAGAGGTAGTCTCTCCTGGCGTGGTTACAGTAGTGGTGCCTCCCATCTGAGCTATCACAGCATGGAGACAGTACCTTCGAATGACATATTTGCTTTGAAATAAGTTAATTCTCGACTAAGTTAATTCTCATTCCAGAAACGGTTGAGGGACCACAGGACTAACAACACTGCACACCACCAGACATAACGGGAGGATCTCATTGATACCATTAAAATCCTGAGCAAGTTAGATGATATTAATCCAGATCTCTTTTTTTAAGTTAAATGCAATGCACACAAAGGGTAACACCTTCAAACCCAACAAGCCACAAAGTATGACTGAAAGCAGATACTTTTTTCATCCTGCTTTCACCCATGGAACTGCCTCCAGCCGAAGTAGTATATGCCAAGACATATATTTACCTAACTTCAAAATCCTGTTAGAAACAATCCTCAGTAATAATAGGGAAACCTTCGCCAAGCTGATGACTTCCAGTCCCCGTTCCAGTTACTAGAGAATAGCGACCTTCAGGTAAATTTAGGTAAGTTATTGCATTATTAATTAATATTATTAAATATTAGGAATTAGAGAAGTGTGCTGAAGGTTTATCAGCCCATGGAAAGTCATTTATTTATTTAACAAATATATTTAATAACTTTAATACCTATAAAAAAGGAGCTAGCAAATAATACAAACTTAAAAGACACTGAACTTTATTATCAACATGTGAGGTGTTGTTTATACACTTCTAGTGTGTGAGGGAGCCGAGGCAGCGCCAGGTGCTAGGATATACAGCTACTGTGAACCATTGTTGATGTTTTAGATTTAGCTGCTCAGAACGAAATGTCAGTGTAGCACAGGCTATAGAGAGCGCGCAGAGGTGTTGTTTACACAGGACTTATGTTTACTTTATACTGGGTTATCCCCAGGTTGGACTTGGTGATGGAGAGATGGACAGGTCCCAGACATGGAACAACTTGTGTGATAACTTTCGTGGGATGTTATGCAAGAATGGAATATATGTAGTGGAATTATACAAGTTCTCTCGTGTGTCATATATTACAAAACAGAAAATATGGAGTAAGAAGAAATTGTCATATATTTAGTTTCAAAATGTGGTGGCGGTGATAATGTGTGTGTCCACGTTGTATGTTTGTTTACCTTCATGTTGAAGTATAATTAGCTTGTTGATTGTCTTTCACGGTGTGTTAGTTAACGTCGGTTTCTAGTATGTTATTTATTACTTGCATTACTTTTGTTCTACATTTTTTACTACAACAGTCGTTATTACTACTATACAGTGCTTCGCTAATATGTATCATTATTTAAATGATGAGCTAAACGCTAAAAGATTGTTAATAATGTTAGTTTGAGTGACATTGTTGTACACTTGTTCAGTTCTGCCAGAATTATAACCATTTGTACAAATTTATCGAATGCAGATTTAGATTTTGACTCTTGTGGCTGGCAGCCAAGCCAAATATCCATATTAAATTGAGAAATATAACAATTTTGACAACTGCTGCCATAGGGTGAATTGATGGCCGTTTAACATCAATTCTCTTCCTAACATCTCACATTGGACGCCTTACCTCTCAATCTGTCCTCCATTATATATATATATATATATATATATATATATATATATATATATATATATATATATATATATATATATATATATATATATATATATATATATATTCCCGCTTTTATTTGGTCCTCCATTATTTATTTATTTTTATATATATATATATATATATATATATATATATATATATATATATATATATATATATATATATATATATATATATATATATATATATATATATATATATATATATATATATATATATATATATATATATGTATTTATATATATATATTCCCGCTTTTATTTGGTAATCTGTGTTATTTCTCTCCTTTTCCAACATTTGTTTCCCTCCTCTATGTTATTCTACGTTATTCTATTGCATTGCTACTTCTGTCTTCATCGCCATTCTTCTCTCTCATTGGGCAGGTGTGTGCAACCGTCCCACCGCCGCCCACTAGATGTGTGGACTGCCTCACAGGTCAATAATGCATGTAACTGGCTCAAGTTGCAAACTCTTCACCCCTTGTGTTGGGGCGTCTAGGGGGTCACGGTCATGTTTGTTTCATAAACTGTGAAGACACTGTTGATTTATTTGTATGTTGATATATTATGTAACTAGCTCATCGGTGCTGTAACTTGCTTACCTAAATGAATTTTGGGGGGTTCAGTTCCTGAACTCATTATGTGCCTCTGTTAACCCTTCCCACTACCGCTCACAGAATGGGTATGGGGTACATAATAAATGAACTAATATGGAGTTGAAATCTCATCCGCTCCTGTCTCATTCCGCTCTTCCATCCCATTCTGTTCATCATCCTCCATCACTTTCTCCATTTCGTCGCCTTCCGGCATAACATCATCATCTTCCTCCATCATTCTTCCCTCTACATCTTCCTCCTCCTCCTCTTCCTCTTCTTGCTCGTCGGAGTCAAGAGGAAATTTCTCAATGGGCAGCAGTCCTGGGAGACAGATGTGTCTGCCAGCACACTGGCTGGGGCAGCACTTCTCGTCCTCAAGGCAGTAGCCGTCAGAGGCACACATCAACTGCTCCTTCGGCGCCCCCTTCACCAGAGGTAGCGACCCGGAGTACCTCGCCGTCTGCAACACAACCGAGCATCTTACAGTTACCAAGACAGTGCATACGATGCCTAAAACGTTATTAAGAGATGAGTAGCATTCATGGGAGGTATCTACAGCACAATCGTAAGTAAAACGATTATAAAACACTCACTTTGATGGAGTAGGTGGCCAGATAGATGGCGTCGCTCTTGCAGATCTGGTCACCCATCGGTGGGCAGGCAAGGCCTTCGTGAATCTCATGGTCTGGAGGCACTAGGGAAGAAGATGGTGATTAGTGATGATCGCTGTGACTGTAGTTGTGTGAAGGAAGTATCAAAGGGAAGAGGTAACCTGTCACTGAATATTCAAGAGTTCCCAGGTATCATTCAGGATGTCGGTACAAGAGCAGAAGGACATGAGATGGGCGATATTGAAGGAGTCGCTACTCTGGCCCTTTGAGATGTATTTTATTGTCTCAATAAACGTACTTAAAGGCGGGGTACTCACGGGGATTGGAGCCGTCGTCGCAGCAGTAAGGGTCTTCCTTCCACATGCAGTAGTACCTACACCCAGGCACGAACCACGGCGTGTCCTCGTCGTCCACCTCCTCCCCGGCCTCCCTCAGGACTCCACCTGCAGGTAAGGTTGGCCTTGTACACCGCCATGTAGCATGTCTCCACTCATATATGGCAACGTAACAGGTGCGGGTGTCAACATTATTCATAGGCACACACACACACACAGAGTTAGGGGCAGTTTCTTTCACCGTGATGCACCTGTTCACCTAGCAGTACATAGGTACCTGGGAGTTAGGCAGCTACTACGGGCTGCTTCCTGGGGATGTGTGTGTGTGTGCGTGTGTAAGATAAATATATGTAGTAGACATAATAGAGGAAAAATAAATTGGTTAGAAAGGCGTGATCCAAGAGCTAATAGCTCGATTCTGCAGATACAAATAGTATAATACACACACACACACACACACACACACACACACACACACACACACACACACACACATTCGAATTAGAAATGGTACCAGATAGATAAAAAATATGAAAATGACACCGTACCCAAAGCTGCCTGAACCCATTATAAGGAAAATGAGAGAGGACAAACAGGTAACAAGACAAGAGGGAGAATATACAAACAATGGCGAGGAAATTTGTGAGTTACTAAACGCCAGCTTCCACGGCACTCACACGGTCGAGCCGGAGCAGTTGCCAGTGGTATAGCGGAGGTAACACTAGCGGCAATACTGACACTTATTGAGGGACCAACAGAGGAAGTAATCGATTAACTAGAATTAATAAAAGGTATAACAAGTATAGAACCAGACAATTCACCATTAATTTACTTTAGGTACTGATCTTTATTGATTCACTAGCAAGGGGGAGAAATGCCCAGAAGCTGGAAGAGGGCAATTGTAGTGCCGGAATACAATAAAGGGGAGAGGAAAGGGGCGTTTAAGTAAAGACCGGTGTCACTGACAAGTATCCCCCAACAAAGTACTTGGATAAAAATATAAGACTAGTAGAACATTTAGAGATAACTAGGTTTGAGAACAAGCACCAACACATCTTTAAGGAAGAGATATAGTGCTTAACGAATTTGCAAGAGTTATACGACAGTGAGGTAAACATGACAGAGAAGGATTGCTAGACTGAATATTTATAGACGGCCTAAAAGCTTTTGATACAGTTCCTTGTAAAATGCTGCTACACAACCTCGAAAAACAGGTGGAACGAACCGGAAGAATACTGAATTGCCAGAGAAAATACCAAACAGTCAGGAGACAGAGCGTCAGTGTGGGGCGAAGCGTGCACATGGGCATCCAACCCTCATGCGATGAAAGTGTTTTTCTGTTTTCCTATTGTATCCTGTCCTCAGAATAAGTTGTTTGTAGTTGGTTGAATTCTTGAACTAACCCACAGATCCTGATGCTGCAATGATACAGCATTCAAGGTAATGCATCAAACCAAATTTCTTCATAATCATATAGAGAGGAAAGCACTGGTGACTGGGCAGGTAATCGAACTTAACAAAGAAAAGCGGTTACACGGGAAATTCTAAAGAGGGATGATTTTAAATTCTAAAGATAAAAGATAAATTCTAAATTCTAAAGATAAAAAGGAAATTTACCCGCATACTTTCTACACCACGCCACCATACATCCCTCCGTCCTGACCAAACTAAGCACACTCCTCAATCTTAGGTTTTATTGACATTTGCACTCCACATCTCTTAAGAAACCTGTTCTTGTAACTAGCAATATATATATATATATATATATATATATATATATATATATATATATATATATATATATATATATATATGTATATATATATATATATATATATATATATATATATATATATATGCGGAAAATCCACAGAGAAATATGATACAAATATGAATGCTGTATCATTTCATATTTCTCTGTGGATTTTCCGCATAAAATGATCAGTGTTTTGTGATCGTCATTGCATATATATATATATATATATATATATATATATATATATATATATATATATATATATATATATATATATATATATATATATATATATATATATATATACATACATATAAGTAATAACTCTGGTGCTCAAGTCTCAACTCACCTTCGAAAGCAGGTAGTCCAGAAGACATCTCTGTCACTGTCAATGTAGCGCACACAATTATACATATTATTCAGTGTCTATGCACATGTACTTACTACATGTCTAACTCTTATTATTCACTTGTTTAATATCAAATAAACTTATTGAACATATATTCAAATTAATATATTAATTGACATTAACAAAACGGTTTTCTTCTTTTAAGATAATTAATGAAAACAGATTTTTCAACTCGCCATTCTGAGGTGATGTTGTGGGCACGTTCCCTGTCTGGGGTGTTAGGGTGGTCGAATCGTTTAATGCCACCAGTGATTCAGTTGTTGAGGTCAGCGCATCCGTTGTCTGTGGAGTTTGGGTGATAGATTCGTTTCCTACTAAGAAAGTTTGTAGTGTTGAGGTGGCTGCGTCCGCTCCTTCTACCAGGGTCTCTGTATGAAGACAATGATTAAATTAGTCCCCCTTTTATAATGTTGATTCTGTCTTGTTTCGACTACACTTACAGTAGGCTTTCACAACTACAGTATGAACTACTGCCTTTGGTATTGGGTTAAGAACAGTGTCCTGAGGATTGGAACAACCTATTCAATTACGATTGCTTAATTTCTAAAGTACGATGGATTAATCCCTCTTCAAGTACAATAACTTGTGCATTAAAATATGTCAGATAACCTGAGTGAATTGTTGGCAATAACTAAAAACCGATAGTGCACTGACTATAGAATTTGGGTGTAGTGAATACAACGCAAGTGCATTGATTATATAATTTCCACTAAGACGCAGTAATCAAGCCTAGTGAGTCATCATAAACTCGTAAACAAATCTTTTATCACATCACGGATATTTAAATTAATCTTTTACTCATAAATCCCTGTGAATAGTCATTGGCTGAAGGTTCATTGAATGTTTATGATAACTAGTCAAGACAGCTTTATCATGTGAGAAACGTTGAAATTATATAAGTCCGGACAAAAATAATTCACGCCATTTAAAATAAAAGTACTTTACCTGGTTTAGCTGTGCTCGAAGCCTCGATTTCTGAAATAAGTTTAAATTATGAAATAAATAGAAATAATAAAATAATCAGATTAATTTAAAGTTATAATAACAATAATAATAATTATTATTAATTTAAATAATGATATTAATACAAATAACGTGACAATAAAAAATCACGTTAGTGTGATTTGATTGTGAATACAAATAATTACAATAGTTTTACTACCACTACTAAATATAAATATTTAGAACATAACATCCAATCCCATCCGTATTTGTTACATCCGTCCTATCACCTGCTTTGATACTAGTCACAAGTGCTGTACCCTTGTTATTCTTGACTTTATTTAACAAATATGGAGAGAGTTTTTCATTATACATTCTTTCATTAATCTGGAGGCGAACATTAACTCCTTCAGATATTTCATCCCGCATTATGTTAATTCTGTCATTTGAAATGACAATTTCGTCATACTTGTCTGATAACATATTGACCTTTGCATAAAGTTGTTTTAAGCTGTGTTGTAATAAGGATAAAAGGCCATATTTTTCAGCCGAGTTTATTTTGGATCTTTCAACGAAAAAAAATTGTGCCTGCAATTTGACACATGTCCCACCACTCCAACAGGCATTGGCACTTGCGTTTTTGCCCAACCAGGTGTTCCCACAATATTTGAAGGTTATCAATAACATGTCTACTCTGCAATAGACTGCAAATGAGCTTCCATGACCCTGTCTCCAATTTAACTTGATCTTTAACAACAAGCTTCATCACAACCAAACAATGAACCGAACAGTACTGCAAGAACTAATTTTATCATGTAAAGTGTGCATATATATATGCTATCAAGCCTAGAACCATAATTCTGGCGAACATATGTGTACTCATAGACTCCCCCGTTAATGTTATTCGCATCCTTGAGACCAATACATTTCCAAAGTGTAATTAAAGCAGGAGATACACATGTGTTCGACTAAATGCTACAATCTCTCACAGAAGTGACACAATTAAAGTCGCCACCAAAAATAACATTACGTGTATCATGTGCTGAAAAAATACAATAACTCTTTTTAGAGAACAATTCCTTCCTATATTTCTTCCTGCGGGAGCCAGAGGGAGCATACACATCCAGCAGAGGAATTATAGTGTCAATAGAGGAAATCCTCGCATATAAAACATGACCATTATCATCCATTCACACACAAAGTGACGGGGGCTCACCCTTGACGACCAGGGACGCGGCCGCCACAACCACCACCAGCTTAATAAGACTCTGCATCACAGTTCTCGGGGCGTGAGTCTGGAAAACAAAATACGTATATACTATATATAATAGAAATAGTGAGAGTGACGAATGTTCGTCATTCCGACAGACTTGTGACCATGACGGGCCTTGGCTTACCAAACACGCTCCCCGCTGCAAAAAATGCGCCCAGTCAGTTGTACATGACTAGGCTACTCTGGGTGGTTCCCAAGCTCACTCGTGTAACTAAGCTGGTAACCACCACTAGCTGCAACTTTAGTAATAAAGGACGCTGAGGCTGCTAGCAGGTAGCAATAACTCACAATTAAAATTGCATGGGGGTCATCTACCAATTTTCATAAACATTACAATGTCTACATTGAATTGCAAATGCTATTTTTTTTTAGTTCAGATTTGAGCTATCTGACATTTTCCCTCGAGTTCCGGGGTGTTTTGAATTTATGTTCATTATTTTTCGTGCTGAGCTGCCAGAGAACCAGGTGGTTTAGATAAGTGCATCGTTAGTACCACTAAGATTTTTGCAGGACACTTGCAATGATGCCGCTGCACTAGAGTGCAAGAGGAGCGTCAGTAACTGCAAGAAACAAATATATTGAGAGCGTTATTTGGCTGCAAGTAGCAGATGCAAAGAAAGTGTCAAAGCTTAATTCAAAGATCAGTATTCAACAGACTGATTAAGGCAGCGTCTGGATGATCTCGGACGTAGGTTCGAATCCTCGTCACGGCTGGATTTGTGGATTTGTTCAGTATTCAGCAGCTTAATCTGGTCTGGGTGTTCAGGCTAATCACAGGTAGGCGGTCTCAAACCTTCTCCCTGAGTAGCCAGGTAATTGTCAGTCTTAGGAGACAGGATTAATTTGTGCTGTACCAAACCTAGACTGCTTGCTCTGTCATTGAAGCCTTTCATATTCTTAATTTTTATTTTGAATTTTTATCACATCTATGAAAGATATATTGGAGAAAAATGTGAAGATATATTCTTCTGATTAAGATATATTACAGAATAATGATATTGTCCACGGATCGAAATGTCATCTCCTTCATATGTGTGGACTGGGTTATTTGATTTCATCCCCGTCATTATGACTAATTCTCGGCATAGTGTCTAACATTCAGTCGTAGTTGTTTGTGTTAAAAAATTAAAGGTTTTGATTAGCGATAATTTTCCTACACCAGTCAGGAAAATATTTGAATTAGCGGCCGCGGGAATGTTTGGGCGGGCAACAGACATTCTAGGGGAGGTCGTTGATTTATTTCATGTCATAAAACTCAAATAGCTACGTTTTTATTTTAGGCATGTTAACGGGTCAAGCCTCCAAACGAAGCTTATATTTCGCTCCGTTCTAAGAGTTAATGTGAAGCTATTCGTTAAAGCTTATTGTACTTGATAAAGTTTAATTAAGCTAAGACGTCAAAAAACTGCGAGTGCATCCAGTGTGATGGCGGGTGATGCGGCGACAGGGAGTATGCACCACACTTTCCTTAACCACAGTTCATCCTGAAGCCATTACTGTGCCTCTGTAACCCTTCCCACCTCCGCCCATGGAATGGGTACCGGGGGGGGGGGTGTGCATAATAAATGACTTAACTAACTGCAGTTCGTTAGACTTTGTGCAACTCTGGACTCATTATTCATGTTAATCATAACAACGTGTGTTTATCTAAGCGCTGTAATGGCTTGTTGACAAGCTCTGGCCCAACCTGTCACGTGATTTAGACTGAATCACTCAACGGAATATTTTATAATCGTTCTCCTGTCAGCAGCAGCAAATGGGTACAGTTTTATTGCGTCGATATCAATGTCAGTTTTGTTTCACATGAAAAATGAGAATAAAATACTTATTTTAAACTATTAATGAGATGTAGGTTTATTTTAAAAATAAATATTTGATAGAATAACGAAGCCACATTTAGAGAGCCGTAAAAAAATCGTAGCCACTATGTAGTGCTAGGCTTATTAACTTGACACACTTTGAGTTTTTTTATATTGATGAAATGATCCTGCAGACTTTCAAATTTCACTCTGAGTAAATTATTGTCTTCTATTTGAATACTCAATATTTATCGAAAGACTTGATGAATCTAACGAAGGGGGTTGGAAGGGCTACCAACTCGTGCTACAGAATTGCAATATATGGATGGTGCTGGGATAATACAGTGTCTTCGCTGTTTGAATTACAGCTGCATGATTTGTCTGAGTGTAATTGTGTTGATAACTGCAGCAGGATGGTTAGTCTAGATGTAACTATGAATGTGAATTAGGGCAGGATGGTTTGTCTGGATGTAACTGACTGTAATGATGACTGGAGCAGGATGATTAGTATGGGAGTAACAATGACTAACTGGAGCTGTATGGTTGGTGTACTGACCATCGTGGTACATGTACTGACTGACGATGGTGTTCTGTAGTGAAGACTTCCGCGGAACAAAATACATGTTTGGAGGTCGCGTTCTTTCTGCTTGTTTCGTCAGAACTGACCCAAGTTGTTTCACTCGGATACATTGTTCATTACTCTAGACGAGACCACCAGTACACCCACTTCCGTCATTATCACACTCACTACAATCAGAACTTCCACCATACCAACCTGTCAAATTAGTCACCACACAGTACCAGTAACATTACCCTCACAACCAGAAACACCATACCCAACTGTCACACCTTTCATCATCATAAACTTCTACATTTCCCTAACTACTGTCTCTCTCATTCACTTGTATCAAAGTAGATTACCGGAAGGCGTCGACAAGCACACAACAGATACGCTCGATTAAAGTTACCTGTAAAGACGTAATAGTAAAAAGAACAAGAAAAAAGAAAAAGGGAGTTACTGCCCTACCAGATTCACGAAGCAGTTACGCAAGTACTTACGAACGTGTACATCTTTCCTCAATCTTTGACGGCTTTGGTTACATTTATTAAACAGTTTACAAGCATGAAAACTTCCTATTCAACTGTTGTTATTGTTATAAACAGCCTCCTGGTGCTTCGGGGCTCATTAACTGTTTAATAATTGGAAACAAAGCCGGCAAAGATTAAGAAAAGATGTACAAGTTCGTAAGTGCTTGCGTAAGTGCTTTCGTGAATCTGGCCCCTAGGCTTCGTCTCGGTGTATGTTGCTCGCTGGTGAACCTACCTGAGAAACACGCGGGAGCTCCTACCAGTTATAAGTTCACTCCTCGACTGTGGCGTCTACCTAGGCGGTCGCGCCTTTTATACGCGACTAGGATGCATTCGTCACGCTAAAAAAAAATATTTCATACATGTTTATTATTATTTTTGTTGTTTTGTTTCTGTTGGAATTTCAGGTATGGGCAAACGATGACACAAGGATCATAATATTGATGAGGCTGTACTTAAGAAGCGGAATCACGTTCATGTTTTGAGAGAGCGTTTTCTTGTTCCACTCAAGTATTTTTACCTGTAAACACTGCATGACTGTACCGTCGTCACCCAAACTTGTAATCTGCTGAAGAATACGTGACTGTATCGTCTGTGGTACCCAACTACGGGCTTCTGGACATATCTGTATTTCACTCTGAAAGGGTGAAAAGCTCGCCGCTCTAGAGTCCCTTGTGACTAGAGCGACAAACTTTTCACCTTCCCATTTTCCAGCGCCTTCAGCGTGGCGGTCTAGAGGGGGAATGCCCTCTGCATCCTCGGTTCCTGCCCTGTGCCGAAGGAGTGCGAAGAACTCTACAGCCTCTAGGGAATAAACTCTTTGCTTTCCTCTTAATGTTCACATTTTGTAACCACTTTGTTGTGCAACTATGTAACCTTGCATAATAAAGTATATTATCAGAAAAAAAGGGATGGAAGGAGAAACAAATATACTCATATGTATTTAAAGTTAGATGACAAGTTTTTCTCTGAATGCTCTTTATTCCCTTCACCGAGGCTATGGGTCCCTACAATTGCACCAGAGGTGTCCCCCCCCCCCCCTCCCTCCCTCCCTCTCTCTCTCTCTCTCTCTCTCTCTCTCTCTCTCTCTCTCTCTCTCTCTCTCTCTCTCTCTCTCTGGAGATACCAGGCATGTTCACGAGAAACTATTGTTGTACATGTTACTGCTTGTCACCACGTGTCACTATGTGTCACCACGTGTAACTATGTGTCACCACGTGTCACCAGCAGCGTGACGGGGTGGATGTGCCGGCCAGTGCATGACACTTCAGTGTGAGAAATGAAGGGAAATGACCAAGGTTACACCCAAATTAGTCATGTACTTCATGAAGTGAAAAATATAGGAGAGAGAGAGAGAGAGAGAGAGAGAGAGAGAGAGAGAGAGAGAGAGAGAGAGAGAGAGAGAGAGGAGAGAGAGAGAGAGAGAGAGAGAGAGAGAGAGAGAGAGAGAGAGAAGAGAGAGAGAGAGAGAGAGAGAGAGAGAGAGAGAGAGAGAGGAGATAGAGAGAGAGAGAGAGAGAGAGAGAGAGAGAGAGAGAGAGAGCGAGAGAGAGGAGAGAGAGAGAGAGAGAGAGAGAGAGAGAGAGAGAGAGAGAGAGAAGAGAGAGAGAGAGAGAGAGAGAGAGAGAGAGAGAGAGAGAGAGAGAGGAGAGAGAGAGAGAGAGAGAGAGAGAGAGAGAGAGAGAGAGAGAGAGAGAGAGAGAGAGAGAGAGAGAGAGAGAGAGAGAGAGAGAGAGAGAGAGAGAGGAGGAGAGAGAGAGAGAGAGAGAGAGAGAGAGAGAGAGAGAGAGAGAGAAGAGAGAGAGAGAGAGAGAGAGAGAGAGAGAAGAGAGAAGAAGAGAAGAGAGAGAGAGAGAGAAGAGAGAGAGAGAGAGAGAGAGAGAGAGAGAGAGAGAGAGAGAGAGAGAGAGCGAGAAGACGAGAGAGACGAGAGAGAGAGAGAGCAGAGAGAGAGGAGAGAGAGAGAGAGAAGCGAGGAGACTAGAGAGAGAGAGATATGCTGAGAGAGAGAGAGAGAGAGAGAGAGAGCGAGGAGTCTCGAGAGGTAGAGAGAATAGATCGAAGAGAAGAGAGAGAGATGTTTGAGTCGAGAGTATTCGAGAGAGAGAGGAGAAGAGAGCCTCTCTCTCTCTGCCGAGGAGACTATTCTTCTACACTATTTCACAAGTTACCATCTTTCCGATACCACAAATATTCTTAAAATTGTTCTTCTGTTCCGGTGAGGAACTGTATATCTTTCGTCCCTCTCTTTCACTGGGTTTTTTGTTTATTTCTCTTGTTTTTTATATTTAATGTTGGTGTGTGATATTTTAGTGTTGAATACGTCTCAGACTGTACCGTTTATTGTGAACTTGTATCTTATTCAACAAACACATGTCCGCTCTCTGTCTCTCTCTACATCTCTCTCTCTCTCTCTCTCTCTCTCTCTCTCTCTCTCTCTCTCTCCTCTCTCTCTCTCTCTCTCTCTCTCTCTCTCTCCTCCCCCCTCTCTCTCTCACACACACTTAGTACCCAAATGAGCCACAGTGACATTAGAAAGAATTTTTTCAGTGTCAGAGTAGATAGTAAATGGAATGCACTAGGAAGTGATGTGGTAGAGGCTGACTCCATACACAGTTTCAAAATGTAGGTAATGTAGAGCCCAGTAGGTTCAGGAATCTGCACACCAGTTGATTGACGGTTGAGAGGCGGGACCAAAGAGCCAGAGCTCAACCCCCGCAAGCACAACTAGGTGAGTACACACAGTACACAAAGGACATGTCTGCTACACTATGGAAAGTTGTGGGAAGGTTGTCACAAAGACAGTTTTTACATCGTCACGAAAGCGTAAAGTGTGCCCGATTTTACGTTCTTTCCCGCGTCGTTTTTGCAGCTCCGCCACGAGAACCTCACAGAACGTTCTCGAAGTTCACCCCCCCCCCCCACAAAGAACGGCCCAAGAACTCCACCTTCTCCACACATTACACAAGCACGGTAGCAACACGCCTCGCTCGGCTCTCTTGACCATAACGCAATAGCGTGACCAATCACTTATCATATACCAGCCTTCTATTATATAATATATGACCGCGACCAACCGCACAGTAACGCACTCACACGTCAAGGTAGATCCCCTGAACGTTACTAAACGTTTCCCGAAGCAGAAAACAATGTTTTTGGCGGTGGAAAGTTGTGTAATTATCGGGAGAAAACGTTTTGCCGATGTGACATCATGGCGCATGAGAGGAACATGAGGATAGATACCAAACCATTTGGGCCATCGGGGATCGAACGGCGACCTGGAAAACACAAGAGAGAAGGAGGAAGTTTGTGTGCGTGAGATTAACGTGGAAGCGGAACTTGTGGCGTGAATATGAAAATAAAACTAAGAATTGGAGCACTAGAAGTTTTACAATCAACAAAGCAAGGTTAGGTAGTTAAGAATTGAAGTGTTTTGGAAAGACACTAGAGGACTGAACTCGGCCGAGGAGGGAGGGAGGGAGTGAGACAGCAGATAGGAAAAACTGAGTGAATGTTTTGTTTGTACATGAAGTTACGGAACACTGTACACTTAGTCTTATGAAGCGATGTGTGGTGGTGGTGGTGTGGTGGTGGTGCAGATGTGTAGTGTTGCTGGTGTGTGGTGGTGCAGATGTGTAGTGGTGCAGATGTGTAGTGGTGCAGATGTGTAGTGTTGCTGGTGTGTGGTGGTGCTGTTTGCCAGTGATACTGGACTGTGGTGGTGCAGGAATCCAACCATTTGCATCTTTTATCTCTTGACGTCGAAAGCAAACACATATAAATACCTACATAACCTCGATGAAAACATGTTTTTTTCTCTCTCTTTACACAATAGTCGTGAACCTCTAAGCAGTTTAACACAGCAGCCTGTGTTGAGCTTCCTGGGTGTGTGAGTTTGGAGACCGTGAATCATAGCCTAATAACATCCAGAATTTCTCTCTAACCTTCAATATATTTATTTACATCACTTCCCCAGTCGCTCACTGTGTTTCCTCGCTCGCTGTTTTAGGTATGTGGTATACCACAGCTGTAGGAGTATACCACATACTCCTACATAGGAGTATACCGCTGTGGTATACACTACTGTGTTATACACTCAAGCAGGGGTGTGGAATGTCTTTTTGTACCATAATTTTACATATTGAAGACTGTACAACATTTTATCATACTGCTAAACACTTAACAATCAATTATGTTCCCTTGTGTTTGACAATTATTTGGCTGTAGCCTCGGGGAGTGATTCTCTTCACGGAAACTATGCCATTACCGCTGAAAGCTAGTTTAGTTCAGGTGTGTGTACGTTGGTCAGCCTCGTTAAGGCTCACCTGCTGAGGTTGAGTGCTCAATTACTCACTATATGCGAGTAATCACATATAGTGAGTAATTCTTCCCTCCGTCCCATCCCTAATCCTTATCGTGACCCCTTTCAAGTGCTATATAGTCGTAATGGCTTGGCGCTTTCCCCCTGGTAACTCTCTATTCCCTATACTCACTTACTATATATTTGTCGCTATATGTGGTTTAACAAACCTCTAACGTGTAATTATCACAAGAAAGTGTTAAATCAATATGTCTGCATAGAACAAAATTTTTATCAAACGGCTCGATAGAAATTGTTTCTGCATTTTGCAACATCCTCCCTGCAGCCCTCGGTACTGGGGCTTGGGTCATGTAGTTACGGTCGTTTTAACGAGTCCTTCGTTACTGACAACGAATTCGTTACCCCAAGCAGCGCCAGCAGTTACGAACCAGTCAGCAATCACCCCCTTCCTCTCCTAGCCTAGTAATTATATCACAAATAATGCTTAAAATATATTTTTTCGTATTAGAATTGCAAAAGAAAAAGAAACACAAATCAAAATAAGATTATATTTAATTTTGTGATAAAATGCACGTAATTTTGAGTGATTATATCTACCAAAGGTTGTTTACGTGAGTTGAATTGCACAGGAGTGCTTGTCTTGATGCTTGACAAGCAGCTGACAGTTGTGTTGACAGGTGACGGGAAGGAGCCGGGGAGAGGGAAGATTGAGACGAGAGAAAGAAAGTACAGAAAGGAGGAGAGAGAGAGAGAGAGAGAGAGAGAGAGAGAGAGAGAGAGAGAGAGAGAGAGAGAGAGAGAGAGAGAGAGAGAGAGAGAGAGAGAGAGAGAGAGAGAGACCAAGGACTTGTGAAGACAGATACACAATAGACTTCCTCTTATCCTGTAATCACTATGACCTTTCTATTCATAAATAGGAGCAGTAAGGACAGGAGGACAAGTGTGGAAAAAGAGGAGGAGGAGGAGTAGCGAGATAGAAAAGAGAGGAAAAGGGG